GGACGCATGTTAAGTGAGTACTGTTTCGACTGAAGGCGAATTACCAGATGTTAAGAATCGAACTTTAAGAAAAAAAAATGTTCGAACAGTTATTTACTGATCTCAGACAAAAGGTTAAGAAACTAAATTAGTGTGGATTGACAGAGTTGCAGCAAACACAAAAGGGTAGGACGAGGGTTGAAGAAATGAACACTGGAAGTTATTCTCACGTAACATATGAGGGAGGGTCAGGTTAAGCAGAGGATGAAGCATGCAGTGACGTCAGAGAGACAACGTCCAACATACTTGACTAGGACCTTGATTATAAAAAAGTCATGAATATGATTTGAGGTATCCACAATACAGGTTATTTTAATTTTCGTTGGGTAATTCTACCGCTACATCGCAGCCTTCATTTTCTATTCACGAACCAGCTATAATTCTTCACCATGCATAAGTAACGACTTAAAGATAATAATTGGGAACTATGGACAAGTGAAAATACACTAATTCTATGCAAAATGGACTAGCATTTCTTAGTTTTACAAAAACTTTCAACAATGCGGAGAAGTAAATCTAAATTAGGATGACAAATCTGTCTATAAAGATCGTGATGCGGCCACTTAGCATCCGCCCAAACATCATATTCATTACCAACAGGACGAGTAAATATTTCCATCGTTTTAGACCAACCTTTTGCCAAAGTACCGACTGGTGCCCCAAATACCGCCACCAGACAAAGAGAGCCAGGAGTAAAATACAGATGAGGGAGAAGAAAACAGCAATACCAGTACCCACAGCTCCAACAGCAGTGCCGGAAGACCAAGTAGTGCTTAACGGCATTGTCCTGACCACTTTTGTCCCTTTTGGTGACACTACGAAGTCGCCTTCCTCAACTTCGTCTTTAACGTCGTAAAGACTCGAGGCAACGAAAGCGAACAAGGTATAGTTGGTATCCGGTTGAAGAGCTGGATCAGCGAACACTTGGGGATTCAAATTCTTGCTAACATTCATGTCCACCTCTACTATACCATCACCTACTACCACTACGTGACTAGGATGTGATCGCGTGTGTAGTACAATCCTTGCGCTTGATGGAAGGGAAAGACGACGATGCAGAACGGACGAGTGCCCTGCTGTAATGGAAAGGCGGGTTTAGGATGAGCGATTTCAAATTGTTCTCCTCAAGCAAAAATTCAAAAGGCTATCCCCACCATTTCGACTAGTTATCAGCAATGTGTTTCATATGACTGGAATCATGGATGATTCAGTGAGCTGAATACGCCAATATTGACAAAGAAAACTAATTCTTAAATTTCAAAGAATCAGGCCTTCATCAAAACACTAAATGGCTTGTTTGTGATGTCTTTGAGCATTTTACTGAACCCAAGAATTACTGCATTACTGCGCCGAAGATGGTCAGCTTAGTTTAAAATTCGAAAATCTATTCAAATTTCT